TAGTGAGCAAATCCTCCGGCTCAAAGTAAATCTGTAATTATCTCTTATTTTTTTAGAAAGTTGCATTTCCATTGGTATATCATCTTCCTTTGCCTGAGTCCCCTCTAATTGTTTGCCTCCGCAGAGTGAAATTAAAAATAAATGAGTTATTCAATGAAGGCACTTGTTTCTGAGTTTGAGCTTTCAAATGTCACAGCAGAGAAGCTCTTTTCCCCCTCTGAGGGATCTAATAGTCTACGAGTGAGTTTTTTGATAATTGTGCTATTTTTTGGGTTTACCATATTCTCTGTAATTGAAGCAGATGTTGAGTGTCCTCCGAGGAGCAGGATCTTGTGAGCCCGTGTAGTGCTGTGTCACTCTGCATCCCCGAAGGTGTGGGGTTAATGGGAAAATGAAGCAGTGAGGCAGATGCTGTGTGTAATGGTGCTGTAGGTGAGTAATCCCTTCTGGACCACAACACAAAACCGGCACAGCTCCCAGCTGCAAGCAGCGTGTGACCAGGGGCTGGCTGAGAAATTGCTGTAGGATTTTTGTGACAGCCCGTCAGCCCCGGCTCTTCCAGCCCGGAGCGGTGTGCTGCTCCAGCAGGGCTGCGCTCACACGAGAGGAGCCCAGCTCCCAGGCTGGGAGCCTGCTGGGGGGCAGAGCTGCTGTGCTTCCAGCTAGTCTGCTGTGCTGCTTCTCGTTCCTTTGCACTGAGACATCTCCACAGAACACACGTCAGCATCGCTTCTGTGAGGGTGAGCTACGGGGTGGGATGGGGGTGCCTGGTCCAGCTCCTTTCTCGCCCCTCGGTTTGCGCTGGAACGAAGCCCCACTGTCTCTGTGGGGAGGGACTCCAGGGTTTTCTGGCCACGGTTCCCGTTTCTTGGCCCTTCATTTATACCGAAGAGTGTTGCTGCCCCTGCAGTCACAGATAGAGCTGGGACTTCACCTCAGTCCTGCAGTGTGGCTGTATTTACATACATGGGAACCCAGAACGTGGAAATAACAAACGTCTGTTCTCCAGAATACTTTGTCTCCCATGATCTATGGCTCAGTAATTTTCTCAGCCACAGATTAATAATCCTTGGTGAGTTTTTCTTTTATACCTGGAACCCAAGCTTATTTGATTATTTGTTTAAATGTCTAAACCCAGTTTTATGCTGAAGTCATAAGTATTTTGTAGCATGAGTTTAAGCAGTTTTAGCCTGGTTAAATCAGTTTAACTAGTTTTAGCTGTTCATACATTGCCCCTAAAATCAAGAAATCCTTTTGTTGCCTTCTTTAGCATTTGCACTTGTGCTATATGCTTAATTTTATTTTGGTTTAGTCCATTAGTTTGGACTAATGAGAGTTTGATCCAGAGTTTGATCTACTTTGTTGTGAAATAGTGTAAATTATTACTGTCTCCAAAAAGATGGAGAACTGAGAAAATTAGAGAGTATGAAGGGAGGAGACAAGGCTAGAACAAGACTATTACATCATTTTTTCCTTTTTTTTTTTTTTTTTCCTTTTCCATCCTTTGCTTCTAGAGCTAGAGGTGCTCTAGCAATGGGGACTTGTTCTTCCAGTCCTTGTCATTGAAGAAGGGGGCATGTGAGCACACTTAGATGGAGTTTCACAGTGGCGCCTTTCAGCAGTGTTAAAACCTTCCAGAAACTCTGTTTTAAGCTCTTTCAAAATGCGATTTGTTTAGCCTTAGGCAGAGGTGAAATGGAGGAGCCAGTTTTCTCAAGTGCTTTTGTGTCTTGTTAAGCAATACAACAACATCAAAAAAGAAAAAAAATATATCCTTCAGTAGCTGACAAGGGCGATATTTAGTGGAGGGACTGAAGGCAGTTCTGGTTTCTTCAGAGCAATAGAATTTTAACTGCAGAACTCTTGCTCTTTGCAGAGAGTGTGGCTGTGAAACGCTCCATCCCCTGCTAATCCCAGGTGCAGGCTCACTGGGCAGTGACACCAGTGCTCACAGAGGTGAACTGGTGAGTCCCCGTCCCGCTGAGGGGCACAGCCAGCGCTCCCCATCGGGACCCTGCTGCCCGAGAGCCCCCCTTCGGAACCCGCTTGCGAGGGCTTTGATTTAATTCCCCCCTACACTGAAAGGACCACAGACCTGAAAAATCACCATGGTACTGATTTCTCTCGACAGTGTGTATTTTGATGGGAGAGAGTTATGGGATTTATTAAAAAAAACCAAAAACAACCAAACCCCTTGGTCATTAAACAGGGACTTCTGATGACACCAAGACTGTGGGTTTGAATTTGTTTCCTATTTCCTCTTAGGGCAATGTAACCCTAGTATGAAAGTATTAGGAAAATATAATAATATTTAATAATATAATGATATATTAATAATATAATATTTAAATAATATAAATAATATAAAGATATTCAGAATTTCATTTACACGGAAAGGGCTATTCAGCGTTGGAACAGGCTGCCCAGGGAAGGGGTTGGGGGCACCATCCCTGCAGGTATTTAAAAGACGGGCTGACCTAGTGCTTAGAGACATGGGGTAGTGATGGGGTTTTTTGTTTTTGTCAGGGTTAGGTTGATGGTTGGACTTGATGATCTTAAAGGTCCCTTGCAACCTAGACAATTCTATGGTTCTATGAACCACGCCAAAATACGAACCCCAGCAAGACTTCAGTGAACTTTTTGCGTATCGCGTGGTCTGTGGATTTATATTTATGCTTGTGCTAAGTTCATTTTAGTGAGTGTATTTGTTTCACTGTATTACGCTTGAAAGAGGGCCCCCTGGTACATTAGACTTGTAAATGTTATCAGGTAAAGTAACTACAAGTAATTAATATTTTTTAAGAGTATTGACATCAAAATGCAAATAGGCAACAGGAAAGCAGCTGTAAATGCTAATAACTCGGCTTTCTTTTGGTGTGCTGCAAAATTGCCATTTAAATCACTATTTTTAGGGAAAGAAGCCAGCACACGAATAAAGGGTTGCAAACCCAAAGTTTATCCTGCTTTTGATAGTTTTGATAGTCTTCGGTTTTGGGCTCACACCACACAGTGACAAGGGACAGAAGTTTAATTGAAGCCAGTCTGGCTGGGCCTGACTTCTAAAGAGCCCGTTAGCACTTCGCAGTGGGGGGTTTAGGAATTTGGGCTGAAGAATCCTTGTTAATACTGTTGCAGCCTGTGTTCTGCTTTATGCCCCTGACTTTAGGGAACAAGCTATTTAACATCACTGTTAGAACATTAGCATTATTTGAACTCAATAATTATTGGATAGAACATTATTAGCATTATTTGAACTCAATAATTATTGGAATGAATGAGTTCATTTCAAGGACATGAAAGGTTAGGCATTTTGATGACATGAAATAGTTTTATCAGGATATCCTAAGTTCTTCTCAGTTCTTCCAGGTGTGAACCTCTGACTTGTATTATATTAAAACATGATGACGGAGAACTTATTGGAATATGTCTGCCAAAGCTGTAATAGAGGAATAAACAGAGGCTGGATTGCATTTTGGTGATAGGTAACAGAAGTTACCTTTAATACTAAGACTAAAAAAGTAGGTCATGCTGGCAGAATGCGATGGCTTTTTCTCAGTAACTCTGGGATTTACTGGAGAGCGCTGAGCTCAGTGCTGTCCTTGCCCTGAATATCCAACAGCCACAGCAACATCAGCTCACCCAAAGCAGAGATTTTCTGCCTGGGTCTGTGTCAGCCAGGATTTCTCGCATCCTTTGCTTGAAGGTAGCCAGCCATGCCTGGCGTTCCTCTTACTGTCTGCAACTCTGAAGGCTTTGATCCCCAGATTTAAGGATGGCTGAGCTGCCAGATCCACAGCTTGGAGCTTGGCAAATGCTTCTCCATCCCAAAAAGAGAAATCCCAGCTGAAAATGCTGGGACAGCTTCGCTTGGAGCCACTGTGCTGCCAGTAGCGTCAAATCAGTGAGAGATGATGAGCCCAACGCTGGTTGGGTGTACATGCTCCAGACATGGCATTCAGAGCATCACTCTTACATGTGTCCTTCATTCTGGGCAACCTCCTGGTTCAAACCTAGAATTAACAGAAGTAGACTTTCCGTGTTACTCCTAAGCAGCAGTTAGTCCCTTCCTCACTTTCCTCAGAACAGATATGGTAGATCATCTTATTTGCTTATCAACATTTTCTCCACTTCTTTCACCACATTTTGTGTAAGTTAAGCATTTAGAAAAAGGCCGACTTCATTTGAAACCTTTTACAGCTTTGTACCACTTCCTACAGATCTGAATTTTGTGTACTTCTAATGGTACTTCTTTTCTGCTCTGTTTTTCATAAAATACCATCATTTCCAGAAAGAATGAGGGGGGGGAAAAAAAACAAAACTCTAGAGAGATAAATTTGCGTAGAAGCCAAAAGTGGTTCTTAGCTGTATGCAGGGATCTGGAGTCTGGAAAGGGGAAGTCAACTTACCAACTGGGTGTTGTATGGGGGGGGCGTTGGGGTTTGTTTTGGGGGGGTGGGTTTTCCCCTTACCATGAAGAAAGATCTACAGGATTTGGAAGGGCTCTTTGCTCTGTGCCCCTGATGCAGTGAGCCTGGCCTTGTGTGAAGAGCAGTAACTCATCATTAGCTATTAGAAAACCCCAAACCAAGCCTCAAAATTAAAGGGGAACATTGAGGTGTGCTGAGTAACTCTTATTCCAATTTTGTCCTAGTGATACCTTAAGGAAAAAATCAAGGTACTTGGTGAGTTGAAGGATGAGGCCTTTTAGAAACCTGTTTGTTTCTCGTGGCCCATTTAACTTCCCCGAGCTCCGTGCCAAGCAGTCAGGGCAGGACACTGCTGGGGAGAGAAACATTAAGTGTGAGTTGTTGGACGTGCTTTGATTAACTGTTTGTAGGTGCTAAAATTCATGTTTTTCTCCCACTATTTAGAAAAATAGCTTCATGAAGCGCCACTATTTGTATTGGATAAAAGGACTGTTATTATTTGCCTGAGCCATATAATAAGTGTTGCTCTGTAACCACGCAAACCGTCCCTCTGTGTGTTTCCTGTTTCCACAGACACTTCCCTTGGGGCTGGGAGATGGGCAGCTCTTCACCTGGACTGATGGCCTGAAGAGGAAGGACTGGCACGATTATGAGAGCATTCAGAAGGATGCCATGCGTTCAGGTATACAGAACTACAAATTTAACTGGTTTATTCATTCTTTCTCCGTATGGCTGTTTTTTCTCTTTAGTCACCGCGAAAGCATTCCTAGCAGTTTTTTTTTTTTGATTGCTGCATGTCACAAGGACATAATGTTCTGAACGGAGGGGTCAGACCAAGCATAAATACCTTGTCTCTGAAAATAGCCACATGAAAATAAAGATGATGTGTTTCATGCTAATAGCTGTATAACGATTGTACAAGGAAACAGGCAAAAACATTAGTAACAAAATTTTTTTGGGGTTGAAACCAGTTGTTATTCTGTGTTGGTGTTGGCTTCCAAGGAGACATATGTTACAGCTGAAGTGGAGTTGTCCGTAACTCAGGGGCTAAAGTCTGGGTCCACGAGCTGTGGCTGTCAGGAGCACCCAAGGTTATGTTAGAAACAGACTTTGGCCCTTTTGCCATTGTCAAACCCCAATCCTTTACTCTGGCTGAAGCTACTTCACTGACAGCCTAAAGTCATTTGATCATGGGAGCAAATTGTATTTGCGGATGTACTGAAGGACCCTTTATTACAGTGAGTAATGTAATTTTAATGCACCTTCACGTGCTCTGTGCCATATGTGCACAGAAAGGTTTGTCCTCCTCTTCCCGTTCGAACAGCGTGTTCAGATTTGAATCTTTCTTTTATAATGTAATTTACAACTATTCAACATAAGAAGAATTAAATTTAAAGGAAGGGAAACAGCAGTTGAAATGCACCTTAATCAGTGTCTGAGAGTCATTATTTTACAAAGGCCAATCTACTGTTATAAAATAAATTCTGCTGTCTTGATCCCGCTGTCAGAAGACAGCCAACACCTCCCCCAGAATATCTCTAGAACTGAATCCAGTTGACAGATCCATAACATTTGGAAGTACTTAGTTTTGCAGGGACCTGAACCAGTAAAATATTTCAAGTGTAGGTTAATTTTATAAGCTGTTTTTCCCTTTTTCTTTTGAATCTTTTTGATCACTAACTTTAAAAAAATTACCCTTCCCTCCCACATGTGCTTGGGAGGAAATAAGTTGGGGGGGGAATAAAGTTATTCTGGGCATCTCAGGAGTTGTGTTCACAATTAATTGTGTTCCAGATTGCCAAGTGTAAAATGACTGTAAGTAAGGGAGAGAGGCAGCAGGTACGTAGGAACATACGTGGGGAACAGCACGTGTGTTCTCGTTAGAATGGACTTTCTTGAGGGCTGGGCACTGACGCTTTGGCAATGCACCTTTGATTCCTGAATATGCAGTGTGGACCCCGTGTGTTTTGGGAAATAAACAGTAATCCTGCTGGTTACCTGAGCTACAGCGTTGCCCACCTAATGCAGGCTCTTGCATGGAGTCAGCTAAGTCGTTATGTAGCGTTGTAATTCCCAGGCCTACTCCTAACATCGTAACTGCAGTAGAATGGGGATATTTTTTCCGGTAAACTTCTATTCTTGGTAAGATATTCTGAGTTCAATTTGATATTTTTATTGGCTTCCTTGTGATAGTGTTTGCTGAGTTTGACCATTTAAGAAATCTTTTTTTAATGATTTCTATCCATCATTATTGTTCCTTAGATTAAAATAACTTTTAATGACTTTTTCCTTGGAAAATCCCAATGTATTGATACAAATGCAAAGCTAGAGTATTTCAGTGCGCTCACTCTTTTGGGACATACTGTATAATTTCTGTCCCTAATAACCAAACAAAGTGTAGCTGAAATCAACTTTCAGTTAAAAATCAATCTGAAGGCATGAAAACAGCACCAGTGAAAGGGCTTCTCAGGACATGTCAGAAAAGGCTGTCAATGCTCGTTACACACAAAGGGAGCAAGGAGTGAAAGCTTTGGAATTCAGTTCAGCTGTTTCTCTGTAAAGCTTACCATTTCCTAAGCACTTACAATGGGAATTTCATAAATGTAATTATGGAGAGCTGCTAATTTCTCCATGGCTAATTCTTCTTTTTTAAGGCCAAATACTTTCATCTCCTTTTATTCCACTAGATTAAAAACTGATGTTCCTCAATTGGAGTGGTCTCCCCTCATTGGAAATCATTCTGTTCTTTTAAGGCTAAAGAGAAAAGCTATTGGCAGGACACGCAGAAAAATTTCTATTGATCTCGAATGTTGTAGCTCCTCTTTTTTGGCTCTGAAATTACCAGAGATCTTGCACGTCAATGCTGAAGTGAGCTCGTGGTAGTTTTTTGTTTTGTGGGGCTTCGCTGGGCCAGCTGAGGTTCGAATGCAGGTTTATGGTGTTTCTGCTGTTAGTTTACCTCCTGCTGACATGATGGTGGTTCTTGAGAAGGGCTGACGTGAATAATGGGCCTGTGGTATGAACTCATTGGGGGTGTTTCTTGGGATGAGGTGCTTCCCTTTGGAAAATACAGATCTTGTGTGTTAAGAACAGGAGAAGCACATCTGAAGCTGTCTCAGGCCAGATGTGCGTAAGATCACGTCTAGAGTTGGACATCAGATCATCCTGGTTTAGTTTTGGTGCCCTTGTGGATTGTTACTCTGTCCTCTACACAGAAGCAATGTGCTCTTACTGGAGATACATATAGATATGTGTGTGTATGTGGATATTCTACTCCACTGATACCAAGGTTACAGAAGGCAATGAGCTCCTCCAGGAGGGACACCCCTGTCAGGTATCACAGGTGGAATGGCCTGGAGCCAAGGTGCCACTCTGGGAGTCTATAAATTCCAGTATAATTTCCAGTTTTCTCACATATTTAATTTTCTCTGTGACTCGCTTTCCCATTTTTTTCCCCAATTTTTATTTCAAAATCATGCTTTATCTTGGAACTTGATTATTTTTAAATCCCAATTTTTTTTTTTTTTCATTTTTTCTAGAAAATAAGAAATCAGTTATTCATGAGTTGCTTACCTTACCTGTGCAGAACTTCTGAACTCCCAGGGCAGCCAGGTGGGACACAGGGATGGTACTGGTGCAGGTGACTGAGAGATGGGTCTGTCATGCTCCAGACGTTTCCCTGTACTTGTTTGTATTTTTGAAATCTGTTTGTATTGCTGAAGGTTGTTCTTTAAAAAACACCCACACCAAAACATGCCAACAAATCGACAAAAAACCCAAGCTCACTCGTACAGCCAGATTTGCCATCCAATACCTTTTGTCATAGGGATTCCATATTTAAAATTTCTGATTCTGTCTGAAATCTTAATAGTTCTCTGGTGAATATGACAGAATGATTTTGGCAGGTTAATTGCATGGTTTTTGTATGCTGTGGTGTTTAGTCTTGCTTTTTTATTATGAGTTAGGAAAAGCACCAGAAGTACTTCTCTAATGCCAATTAATTTACTGTTCTACTTGCAGCTAATTTCTCTTTTATGAGGTTTTAATGCAATTTCAATATTTTCAGTATCTCTGAGTGGAAATAAAATTTTCCAAAGAGTTCTAAAAATTTGGGTCAGCGAATGTGGATACGGGAATGCAGGGAGGAGGTAGAGGGAAGGTGCTGTTGGGCTGCAAGGAGCACTAATTGCTGTAGTGTTGGTGGAACAGGGATGATGGCCAAGTATTGACAGTTATCCAAGCTCTGAGTTATTCAGTAGCATAAAGGAACATTTCATGACTTATATTAAATATACTGCTCATCAGTGCAGCATAGACACAGTGAAATGACAATTACTTCATTCAGTCATCCCAATAACTTAATTTTTCTCTGATTATTGTTCTGCTATAACCTCAAAACCAGCGACTGGAATACAGAATAAAAAGAATGCAAAAGTTTACCTTAAAAAAACAATGAACAAAATACCCCCCCCAAACCCTTATTGACTAAACAGTTCTGATAGATATTTTAGGAAGAAAAAAAATAGGAGTTTAATAGGAGCCCTTAAGTCAGTCTGATATTACAGTGGTGGGGGCGGGGACAGAATGAGCTGATCAGAGAAGCTGACTGCATTGGACCTGATGGGTCTTCACAAGAAATTGGTCGAGGAACTGATAAAGTGACTGCCAAGGTGCTGCTGTCAGTACGTTGACAGTTGGGCCATTTTTCTCATGTTCACTAATAAGATCTCAGAGGCACTGTGTGACCCCAGGGCTATCCCAGCAGCTCTTGGGCCATTTCAATAGCCTTTCTTCCTCTAGTTGTGTATTTAAATAGCACGGGGAAGCCTGATGTGGAATGAGGGTTTTAATTCTTTCCTATATTCAGCATTGTCTTTACCTCTCTGCTCCTGCAAACTGTTATTTTGAGCGTGAGAAGGGGAGTTTAAAGATCCTGACCTTTCGGTCCCCGGTGCGGGAGTTTGGTACAGATCAGCTCTCTGAGCAGACGGTGTGTTCTGTGGTTCCACAAACGAGCTCTCCCACTGATTAGCTCTATAAACAACCTCAGCACAAGCACGGAAGAAGCGAGCTGTGTGTGTCTGTGATGAGAATGGAAATAGAATAAAACGCTGTTCTTGGGGTGGAATGTTAAAAGGAGGCAAAGAATCATGCTTTTGTGCAACAATGGAAAGCAGTGAACCCCTGAGATTTGACTTCTGTGTCGCCCAAAGCAATTGTGCATATTGGTGATTTTTATTTTTTTTTCCATCGCTTCTGCTCAAGGATTTTTGAGAATAGAGTGCGTTAGAATCATTCACCCAAAGTTCTGTGGTTAGTCCTTGTCATTTTGAACAGCGCCCTGCGTTACTTATCCCACATTTCAGATGGGATTATACACTGGGAATTCTGCGAGCATTATATATTAAAGAAATTCACTGAATTTGATTTAGGCTTCTGAACGCGCAATTCCTTTGGAAGGAATTTGAGAACTTGCAGTATAATTGGATGTGTCGTGGCAGCCAAGGTCTCAATAAACAGTCATAATCTAATTGTTTGTAGCATTAATCATGAATATGCTTCACACGGTTTGCAATGTATTGCTTTGTAAAAGGGAAAACCGTTCAGCAGTTTATCTTAATGCAAGTCTGATGTGATTAAAAAGTTTTAAAATGCAATGTTAATCATTGCTTGTCAAGGAGA